GCTTTTCGTTGATTGCTTTTTATTCAGATATGTTTGCTTGATATTAGAAACTGATTGTTTTTTAGCTTTGGGTGCTGTGGCGTTATCAATTCTTCTTCCGTACTGCTCACAAAACGCATCGGCGTCGAATTTTTTTCTCATGCTCCAAAACACCATAAACCGAATTTTTCCAAATATCGGTCGTTCAGTCCAGCCATGATCATGGACTCCACAAATTGACCACATTACACCTACAAATATGTACTTATCATTACTGTTATTCATTTAATTAAATTTGTTTACCAACAAATCCGTTTGGATTATTTCCGTCCAATGCGAAGGTGTCGTTCAAATGGAGACCAATTTCTATTGCTTCTTCAGGACTCTTGGTCCATTCCAGGATTTTTTTACACCAATACATTCGAATGTATCCGTGCATTCTTCCTTCGTTTATAACCTGAACTTGAGCTGCATTCCAAATTTCGTCGTGTGTCTTAGCTTGCGCAAACTGTTCTTTCGTGTAAATATATTCTCTCTTGTCTTTACTACGATTGGATATAAAATCAAGAAAACAAAGATGAAAATAATTATTTTCAAGCGGGTGGAAGTGGGGGATCAAAAAAGGGTGGTCACTTGAATAAAACCCGATAACCTAACCTAACCTACCCTATTGATATAGATATTTAAATAATGTTTTATATAACTTTCTCAATATTTTTATGTATTTTTTATTAGTTTTACCTTTGAATATTGTTTAAGAATGACTATATAAATATTTACACGCCTAGAAATCTATAAAAATTGGCATATTTATTAACTTTGAACCCCCATAACTTTTTATAGGAGTGAGACCGCCACGAACTTTTTATGGTACAGTGGTAGGGGAGACGTCCTCTTTCGAACCCCCCACCTCCACCCCCTTCGGAGGTGGGGTCATCATCTAGACCTTTACCACGCCCCCTCCGTAACCAAGCCTTCTGGTTATGGTTATTGGGAAAGAGAGGCAGGTGTCGTTCAAGGGATAGAAAAAAATTAGTTTTACAACTCACTTCAAACGGTTAGAAATGTGACCTCGGATAAACCTGTGTGTATAGATGGTGTACACACTAGCAAGACAGAAACAGTTTAAATAGGTAAAAGGAAGAGACATATCTCTAACCGTTTAAAATGAGGTGTATGTGGTCGTCCGGTATATCAAGTCAGCCTTCCAAGTAGTAAAAAGCTTTGGTAAATCCAAATAAGCGTACCTTTGTTACTCATATCATACGAATATTGTTCAGAATTGAAATATACAACACTAATAACTTTATTTTCAATTNATTTAGTATATTACATGCAAATAAAAAAATACATATAATTAAGTTTCCAGACAACGAGGATGTCTTTTTAAAAAATTATTTATTTATTTAAATACAAACTGAGCCCTGTACTTTACAAACTATACTTAGATGAATAGTTTAAAGAAAGCATAGTACTGACTGCTTCTTCATTCGGCAGTCCTATTTATCCTTGTGTACTGGAAGCTAGGGTTATCTTGGAATGCACTTAAGCGTCGCCCAATGATCGAAGAATGTTATCATTAAAAGGGTGTTGGTGGACATAACTATATGTACCTTTTTGTGTAATTATTGCAGAAAAGGAAATGGTTTATTTCTTTTATTAGTTAGCTTTCTAATTATTTTTATTTAATGTGTGGCATGCTCATTTACAAACAATTCCTTTAAATTTAATTTTTCAAACAATTTTTAACATAAAGAAAGTAATTAAACAAATTGTTCTCAAAAGTGAATTTCGAACACTCGAAGCAATGGTGCTAACAGCTTAGGGGGAAGAACTAGTACATTTTAATAGAAATAAGAATAGATCGAGTAGATAAGTAGCTACAACGTTATTATCTGTTATTTTAAATTGTAATATTAGTAGAAAACAAACTTTTGTTTGTGAAGTATTGATATTGATTCGAGGTAATTAATAAATACTTTCTAACAGAGGCGGATTAAATATTGAGAGCGCCCTAGACTATCACCTCATAGACGGTAATATATTTTACAAAATAATAAGATAGAGGGCGTGTTTCGTAAGCTTTATATCTCTATAAAAAGTTTAATTTTTTGTATGTAGGTACTTCTTTAAGTTTTTAGGTTAAAAATTTCAGCGCCCCTAGGTATGTGTCAGATAAGTCAGGACGGAAGGAGTAGCAGGAATATAAAGCAAAGGATAGTGCAGGATCGTGTCGCCTTTAATAAAAAGAAGTCACATCTATGTTCGCGAACGGTTAATTTAGAAATTCGAAAAAGGTTGTTAAAGGTGTATGTTTGGAGCTCGGCGTTGTACGGGTGCGAAACATGGAGAGTGAGCGCGGCGGAAAGAAAAGGTTAGAAGCTTTCGGAATGTTGTGTTATAGGCGAATGATGAGGATAACATGGGTAGAAAAGGTTTGAAATGAAGTGGTATTAGATAGAATAGGAGAACAAAGGACTCTATGGAAGTCAATAAAAAATAGGCGAGATAGGTTGGTAGGACACCTTCTCAGACATGAAGGTCTAGTGAGAGACATATTAGAGGCAGAAACAGGAGTTAAGAGGGGTAGAGGTAGACCTAGATTAGATTACTCTTCGCAAATAGTTAAGGACGTGGGCTGTTCTAGTTTTAGGGAAATGCGAAGTTTAGCTCAGGATAGGAAAGAGCGGAGGTACGTGTCAAACCAGTCTTAGGACTGACGACCTTATGTTGATGATGATGAGGTATGTGTCTACTTTGCCTTACGGATAATCCGCCACTGCCCACACACATATTAGTAAAAATAAAACAAATCAAGTAGTAAGTAATTAACATGAACTCATGCGGTCTTCTCAACGTTATCATCATCAAGAAAGACAATAACTTGAAGTGTTAATTTTTTAAATCGTATGATAACGTTTAGAATAAATTTTTGGTATTTTTTTATTCCAAAGGGGCATTTTCCACGTTATTAAAGCGTGTTCTTAAAAACATAACTTGATTTCACAAGTTATATGCTCCTAGGTATATAATATTTTCTATTCTATTTAATACTTGATCATCTATATAATACAATCCTTCATCATAAGGTCGTCAGTCCTAAGACTGGTTTTATCGAGCGGCATGGCCTAGAGGTGTAGATGTAGACCATTGCTTAGCATTCGGGAGGACGCCGGTTCGATTCCGGGTCCGTCTGCCTTGGTCCAAGATTTTCTGTGGTTTCCTTGGACCACCTAGGCAAATGCTGAGGCAGTAATATTCCACAGATAATCTTTCACTCTCTTCTGTCTTCATTTCGTCCGTCTCACCTTTCTCACCCGAACCACCACCCACCCATTCCCACGATTCCTGAAAGCAGGCTGAAGAGGACCTTCCGTCCTACCTTCCGGCTCAGTCCGGAGGGACTGCCCATCCACCAGCATTACTGGCTGGTGGGAATGAAACACCCAAAAGTTTTTTTTTTAAGACCGGTTGGACACGTACCTCCACTCTTTTCTATCCTGAGCTAATCTTCGCATTTACCTAAAATTAGAAAATCTGTAATCCTTAATTATTTGTAATAATATAATTACTTACGAATGAATTGAGATGAAGAACAATATTTATTAGGATTAAGTTGCATTCCATTTTCTTTATTTCATTTGGTTACATTATGGTGATCTGTGAAGATCTGTTTATAGAAAAGTACAGCTTTGGTTCCTATAGGAGTGTGGAATATTTCACACCTTCTAAGAGATCATTCATAATAAAAATATAATCAATAAATAATAAAAAAGAAAGGCCGTAAAGAAGAACCTTGGGGAACAATAATTTTTTCAATAAAGCTTAAAAAATCGTTAAAAATAAATGAAGAATAAAACACAACAAAACGCTTTTAAATAACCTGGAATGGTTCCACGGCTGGATAATTATGAAACATATTAATAAAATCGGTCAAACGAAATAACAAAAATTGCCTTTTTATGTTTCCAGCAGTTTTATTAATAAGCTTGACAATAAAACAGTATAAGTTTTTGGTCACGCCATAGACTGTCTCAATAAATTAACCATGAAATCGAAGTTGTTACCACTTCTGGTGGTTTCAATAAGTTACTGACCAAGAACGTAATCTGTTCTTATTAAATTAGTTACGTCGTAGATTCAATTTGTCGAGTAGATGCCTTTGTAAGGTCTTGTCAAACATGAGCATTAGTACTGTTAACAACGAATATCACTATATACCGATGTACAGGCCTGACGCTGGAAGCTGGCGGAAATTTTAAAATGGCGTGGATGCGCGGTGGCAAAAGTAGGCAGTTTTAAGTATAAAGATTGCAGCCCTCATTCTTCAGTATTCCTATCAGGGACGTAGATTAAATCTTTAAAAATAGGGATCAGTGAGCAAGTAATAGACAGACAAACAGAAGAACTAATTGTTGATGTTGGTGACAGTAATAGAGATTCCCATGATGAGAGTGAATGTGAAAACTAACTATAAAACAAAAGCAATAGGTTAATTTTTTCTTTTTGATAAGTTATGTTTTTACATTATGTTCTAATACGCTACTGTCCTATCTGTATTAATACTATAATTTACGCCTACTGAAAGCTTATTTGTGTATCGGTTCCAAGTGACTTACCCAAATAGGTCATAAATGGACAAGTACCTGCGCGACCGCTCGCTAGCTTCCTTTGTCAGACCTGTACTGCCTGTGCCTGTGTAGTCTAATATAATTATTATATCACCTTTATTTTTCGGAACTATTACAATTATTGTTTTGGCATATGATTTATGTGAGTATATAGTAGGTATTGGAAAATGTCGAAATAATTTTACAGTTTATTGAAGTAATAAATAAGTGTGCAGGGTGTTTCTGAAATATGTAGCAAGCTTTGCAGTTCGAAGCCGACCCTGGGCGTTAATTGGTAATGTACAGAGAAATTGCGGCTAAGCAGATACAGGCCTGAAGCTGGAAATTTTGAAAATGGCGTGGATGCGCGGTGGTAAAAGCAAGCAGTTTTAGGTATAATAATTACAGCCCTCTTTCTTCAGTATCCCTACCAGAGGCGTAGATTAAATATGTAAAAGTAGAGATCAATTTATAAAATTAAATTAAAAAATTAACTTATTCTATTGGTTTTCTTGTTGTAAATATTTAAGGTTTATATAAGCAATAATTTAGTTTAACATGATTTATATAAATGTTATGTTGGATAATGAGCAAGTAATAGACATACAAACAGAAGAACTAACTGTTGATGTCGGTGACAGTTATAGTAATTTCGATGAGGACAGTAAATGTGAAAACTAACTACAAAACAAACAAAAGCATTGGGTTTACTGTTTTTTTTTTTTCATAAGTTATGTTTCTATTAGCTGTGTGCGAAGTAGGTGGTGGGAGAACTACGATTCGATCGCACCGCGCGCCGTGGCCAAACAAGGAACTTTCGGCAGACCAAGTGTCACTATTTATTAATGAAATTTACGCATCCCTGCATTATTAGGCAAAAATAAATAAATATGCGGCAATAAACCTACTGCGTCGTTAACTACAAAAACAGTGGCAAAAACAGTAATCGCAAA